ATCAAATGTATATCTATAGATCTTAATCATTTAATTATATTACTACAATGCAATAATTCTTGTGAGTAATAGTTAGATAAGTTACCTTATTAAAGTTAGAATTAATAAATTCTAATATTTAAATCAAAATATTGAAGAAGGCAGAATTCTGAGAACCATTCCAAATTACCTAAATATAAATAATACGAGTAATTCTTTTTATTAGAATGGAGTCTTAATGCAGCAATTTCCAATTAAGGATTAGTAAAATTAAAGTTAATTTATAGTTGGATTGTATCATTTGAATAATCTATTAGATGAAAATTTGTTTGAGCCTATTTTGGTGCAAGGTTCATTCAATATGACAATGTCCAATTATGCGATGATTGTAAATTAATAGTATAAAAATGGAACATCTCTCTATATTTATAACTAATATATATATACATACTCAATCAGTACCTGGAATATAACTTGCCTTATTTATACAAAAAATCCTTCAATGTCTGTTCAATTATTTTGTTAGAATGAATTTCAGAACGGTACTTATAATATAACATTTTTTCTGCCTACAAAATTTCGTTTTAACTTTAGTTCATCAGTTTATGCTATGTTTTCAATAATTTTTATACTATTATTATATTTTTACTTTAAAGTTAAGTAAAAGACAAGGAGAATCGAATATATAAGTTCAGAAGTTGAATTATGATAATTTATAAGTTTGCATATCCAATAAATAATTATTTATTATTCTAAATCCAAAGGCTATTGTGCTTCCAAATGATTTTAACTAGGTAGAATTTAATATGCTCCCAATATGTGAAAGCAGTCTTGATCATAAGTTTATATGATGAAATCAAATTCTATATAATTATTTTATATTATATAGGCAATATATTCACTTTGATAACAGGATGGACGATGGGTAGATGTGATCATTGTGAAGAACTTATGATTAGGGAGATTTGTATTAGAGCAATTCATTAATTTATTTTAGGATTTAAAAGAATCCCTATAAAGATTGATCAAAATGGCATCCTATATTGTTTCACATTCCAACAGATCAGTTTGTATAACTAATAACGGAGGGACAAAAGATTTTACTTTTTATATTCAAGCACTATTAATTTAAGTGATGTATATAATTTTCTGTTTGTTGAACCTATATAAGGTGATAAAAAAGTAAATTTAAAATTTTAACCAATTATATCTGCCATTTTACTCTAGGATACATATCTTCTAGGTTACTATCTGTTAGATTAATTAAAGTCTCAGCAATAAATTGGTTAAGAGATTGAAATCTATAAATTTAATAACTACAAATGTATTATGGATGTATTTACCCTAAGAGTCTAATAGTTAGTATAAATAGATACGAATGATTCACTTGTGGATTATTTTGTCCATTTCGCCTACTAATTTTCAATATCCACTTCAACTATTATTATATCAGTTTTAGAAAATTCAAATGCTATCTATCTACCATGTTTATGTTATTAATCATGAGTATAACAATAACCATTGTAATATATATTATATGTTCGATTTATTTCTATTAATATAATAAATATACCCTCCTCCAATAGAATAACATTGGTAATAACCTTTACTCTACACAATATCCTTAAGACCAATTCCAATTAAGATATACTCAATTTAAATAATTTTAACAGCAAATTAATCACACCATTCTTTGGAATCATCTAATCACACATACAACATTATATATATGAATTTAATTAAGATTTTGAATTTCATCTTAATACATATTGTAGTAATATTAATTATATCCATAACAATTAATTTATGAAAGGGTTTTTTAAACTAAATGAGTCAACTTATTTCAATTATTTTATATATTTAATAGATAAATTGTTATATATATTTGAGCTCTATGATTTGTGTAAAATAGCATCATATCTAATATGTTAAATGAATATTTGGATGCCACATTTGCCCAAGCGTTTAAATCAGGACCACAGGAATTTATAACTTTTGTAGGTGTGAAATAATGTGTTATTTAAGATCACTTTGACACAATATTAATTTTTATGGAGAAAGAGTGATAAAATCAAATTCAAAATTGATTCAAAAGTAACAAAAAAACAGATTGCATTATTAGCAATATAAAAATTCATTGAAACTGAGCTCCAAATAACAATATATTGATTTTGGTAACAATACTTTTAATTTCATTAAACTGCTTATTTTATGTATCTTCTAGGTAGAGTGAGCCTTCTTACGTAATTAGTAAATTCTTTCGAGGGCGTTTTATTTCTGAAAATCTTCCAGAAAAATAATGACATGTAATAACATTTCGAAGGGCAAGGAACTATTCTTCTATTGATATGGCTAGACACATTTATCGTTCTAGTATAACTTTCCATCAAATTGCTGCCAAAATCGGAATGGAGAAGGCTTTCTGCTTTGAAAAAATGCAGAAAAAAACAAAACACTGATTAACTGTGATAAATCATATTATTTGTGTGCGGTTTTTCATAATAGAATTAAAATTAGCATATAGATTAATTTTAAATGGAGAGATTAATTAATATTCGACCGGTTAAACTGAAATGTGTTTGGTTTAAAAAAACAAATTTTTAATGTTATCTTTTAATGTGGTTTTAAAAAAATGATATAGTAAATAATTTTAATCTTAAAATATGAAAATAAGCAGATCTATGTTTAAATATGATAAGAAGTAAATAATTTCAATTTTTTCATTCATAATTTTCATATTTTAAAATTATTAGTCTATTAAAATGGCTTAAAATGTTAAAATACTCCTAGGAAATCTAGGAATATATTATTGGTTTCAAAAATAAAAGCCAAAAAACAATATAACCCTTGAAAATTAT